AAAAAAAAATCCTAAAGTGCATTGCCCCCCTACCTGAGGCTTACATTGGGCCAGGAGGGGTGGGACAGGATCTGGAGCCTGCAGTCTGTGGAGTCGGCCAGCCTCTCCTGATGACTTTATCTGCACTTCTCCCAGACTCCCCAGCGGTCCTGGTAAAAGAGTAGTGAAAGTCACGGCCCCTCCTCCTGACATCATCAGGAGAGGCCGGCCGACTCCACTGGCTGCTGGCTGCAGGGAGAGAGGTGAGTTTAGAAATCAGAGTCCCCAGCCACAGGCACGGGATTTGGATTTGTGCTCCCACTGCTCTTGTGTCCGCTTGTGCCAGCCCTGGGTCCTGCAGGACTAGTAATGGGAACAGCGTTCCTACTGTGGAAAAAGTGCCTTCCTGCAGGACTCGAGCCCTGATGCTAGAGAACAAATGCGAGTCAAGGCTGACAGAGGCTAAATGTTAAACTGATAATAGGAGTTACAGTTTTGTATTTGTAAATATTGTGATGGTGAATTTCTGGTGACTTTAGAGGTTAAGTTGGAAGTATGCTGTAGTAGACCAAAACTTGTAAAGTCAGCAACAATTAACAAACAATATATAGGTTCATTAAAACATAAAATAGGACCCTTATTATAAATTACACTAAGGGATGCAGTACAGTAGTAAATAGATGGGAAAACTTACCAGGAAATTAACCGATGATATAACAAATTATATGTAATTGCCCTAATGATAGGTAGTGTGGCCAAACAAGGCTTAACGTTAAAGTAATGAAAGTGCAGCCGAACGTATGCTGAATGTACTAAACCAAATTGAAAATGTAACATGGCTGAATATAGGCCGAATATACTGCACCAAAATAAATATTTTGACAGTGTGGCAAAATGTAGGCCGAATGTACTTCACCAAAGTGAATATGTAGCACCACTGGACGAAGGACAAAGATACTGAAAGAAAATATAGCATGGCTGAACGTAGGCAGAATTTACTGCGCCAACACAAAATATATTGTGGCCAAATGTAATAACCAAAGTGACTATGAAGTGTGACTTAACCTAGGCAAAATTTACTAAAACCAAATGCAAATGTAATTTGGCTAAACATAGGCCTAATGTATTACAATAAAAGTGAAAATTTTGTGTGGTCAATTGTAGACCGAATCCACTGAACCCGAAAGAAAATGTAGTGCAGAAAGTACTAATCAAAGTGACTGTAACAAGGCAGAATGTAGGCCAAATGTACCGAACCACAGTGAATATATAATGTGGCCGAACGTGGTAGAATATATAAAATTACATTTGCATGCCCGAACATATCTAACGTGGCCAAGTGAATCAAAGTGATTATGTAGCGCATCCTAATGTAGGCTGAATGTACTGAAACCATGGTGAATAAGTGCCGTGGCCAACACAGACCAAATTCACTGAAACACAATGAATATGTAGCATCACTGAAAGTAGGCCAAATGTACTGAAACAGTGTATATATAGTATGGCTGAATGTTAGTCGAAAGTACTGCATGGCTGAATCATAGTGAATATGTAGCTTGACTAAACAAAAGCCAAGTGTACAATCCTAAAAAGAGGAGAATGGTGGAGTTTGACCGTGAGTCAATGTCCATACTCATGTACACTGCTGGAATGCTATCCCTGTCAGGGTTACAGTATGATCCAGCATGTAGAATTGTATAACACAGAGGACAGATAGGTAAGGTATACCGGACCTTAGAATGGCCAGACTAACGTACCAAAAAATAGTCAGGAATAGCCGAGGTCAAGGGAAACAGAAAGAGAGACAACGATAAGGAAAAGCCAGGAGTCAGGGATGCCAGAAAACAGGGAAGTCAAAAACAATGCCAAATCAGAATTACCAGAATCAATAACGTGCTCTCGGACAACCACAAGGGAAATCACGACAGGGCACTGAGCAGTATGAGAAGTGGGCCTAAAGATCTGATAGGCTGTAACCGACCTTTGACCCCAACGTCAGTTACCAGGGTCCCATTTGCATAATTGCTGCTCAGCATTAATCCTTCTGTGGATTTGGTTGCTGCTCGGCACAACTTTTCCTCTGTGGACAGTAAATGTCATTAACCACATTTTTATAAGGGGATGAATACGTGACAATCCCAAGCTGGGAAGTCAGCGACTGGAAGTTGAGTGTGGTAATCTAGAAACCACGTTCTAATTGTCGACAGAACATCAGGTGGTTGCTGGGAGGGAGGTAGATATAGGCTGGACAAAAACCCTCACACAACTGCAGGCATACTGCCTTTACATATGTATGAGCCATTCTACCAAATGGGTGCCATTTCTGTCCCCTGGACATTATATGTATAAAAATGACAATTCTAAAATACGTTTTATTATTAAACAAATTATATTACACATTAATCTAACTGGAAATGTAAAATATATAATTGAAAACAATAAATAAAAAACTACCTAGAACACTGAAAAAATAGCACATATGTGACTTTAACACTACACTCTTTATCATAAAATATAATGATAAAAATCCTTTAGAATTTTTTTTGTACAATTTTTTTTATTGTTGTGTGACTCCATATTCCATTTATGCCTTAAATATTTTTTTTTACTAAAGAAATCACTCAGTCCTGTTACCCTAACATTATTCTACTATTGAGATTTATTCTAAATAGGAAGTTACAGCTTCTGGATCTTCTTAAGGTCACGGGAAGACCAAAAGTAAGTGCTCTTATTTTCATCTCTGTGTATTTGATGATAATGTAAACTATGACTGAGAAGGTCGATTTCAATGTATCTCCTGTAACAAATTATTATTTAGATGTTATTGGTTTATTTTAAAATCACAAATTTTTGGTGAATCACTAGGATTTTCTCAGTGGCTTCATGCTATTAGCATGTACAGCATGTGGCTATATTTCATGTATTTGCTAATTCTATGCTAAAAACTCATATAAGATGTAATAGGACTGAGTAACAGTAAGCGGAGTAAGTAGTGTCCATGGTGGAGTGATGTATTAGTAGGAATATTAGTTGATATACTATTTACTTGATTTTTAAGTTTTACAGTTGAAATCACTGACGTTGTAGACATTTAAGATCAGTTTTACAATATAATTGCCATATTTACACAGAGCCAATCCACCACTAAATGCTTCAAGAAACAGAAATCCTATCATACCCAACACAATGCGGACCCCAGAGAGGAGACAGAAATATTTAGAGAAGGAAGGTAAGAAATACAGGAAGGACCTAGAGTCAAGACAGAAAGGAAACAATCAGTGACCTCAGTGAGAAAGAAAAGCAGAGATGTCACAAAAAAGTGGAAACCTCGTCAGCAGAGTCATACATCCCTAAAGTTACAGAGCTGTTTGCTGTGTTGCAAAAGACAGACACAACAATCAAGTTGTTTTTGTGAGCAGGGAAGCAGGTGAGAAAGCAGATTCAGAGACGCCCAATGTTGTGCTACCAGTTCTGGCCATTATTAGAGCACATCAGGCAACGACTCTAGCCCATGGAGAGCTGACATACAGGGATGTCATTTGCTTGTGCACAACAAGACAAAATCTGAACTGTGAGTGCTTTATTTGAAAACATATCAGGTTCAGTAATCAACTGACAGCTCCCACAGCCACAGACGTTTAGTGGCAAAGTACTGAAGTTATTGGTAATTGTTGTGTGATGAAGTATGAAGGTACAATTGAAACACGTGTTGGGGTCTGTTGTATGCAAATGATTGGGGTCAACAGGTTTTTCTGGCCAGCTCATGAAGACATCCTTTGGTATTTGTTTAAAGACATTGTGTGCATTATCCCACCCCTGAGATCAGTCAAAGGTTGTTACATGGAAATTGAGAAAGAAGTCTAGGCCAAGCTAAAGAAAGTTTCTTAGAAAAGGTCAGGCAAGTTTTTTTAAATTAATTTAAGACACTACTAGCTAAACACTATTGGATGTAGTGTGTGCAACTGAACCATTTATGCAAATGTAGCTTGTGCAACTGAACCATATATGCAAATTGACCTTAGGTGCTGAAAACCAGACATCTTTAACTTTTTTCTTTACTGCAAGAAAGACCCACTCATGGTGTGCAGCAGGGAAAGGAGCAGAACACACTTGCCACCCTCTCTATTGCCACTCTTTTTGTGTTTCCCTCCTTTCCCCCCCCCTCTCTCTCCTTTCTCCTTCCACCTTTGTTGCTGTGAAGAACTGTGAGCACATAGCACATCCCTTCAACACAAATCACATACAGACAAAATGTACACACAGCTATTGACACTCGCAGACAAAAACACACACATGTATGCACACACGTACAAACATTCCTTTAACCCGTTGTTCATTCCTGTTACTAAATTGTTGTTGATTTTTTTCTAAAAAATAAATTTCATGTTATTCAATTATGTTTGATCCATCATTTATCCATTTGTTTAATAAATTATATTATAACAAAATTGCTAAATGTTAAGTTTTGGTTTTCTTTAAAAATAAACCTTTTTTGCATATATACCTTTTGTCACAAACATCAATTATTTGAACAAGTAACCAACTTGTTCAAATTTCCAACTCCATTTCTTTAAAATAAACAGGTTGTTGGGGATGCATATATGGGGCACTGAGTTTTGGGGGGTGGGGGGAGTACATTAGGAAAAGGCTCAGGGGACGAGGGGACAGAAAGGTTTAAGGAGCTGATGAGAGGGCAATACTGTGATATTTATTGTGTTGAAGCTCTGTGAGACACTCACACACAATGTTAAACTCAAGGAACCGTGGGCCAACTTAACTCAAAAGAACATGGATATTTAGATCCAGTTTTTAGTCACCAGTTGGAGCTCTTTGAAAACCCCACCCCATTGATCAGCAGCAGTATCCACCTATATCATCACACAATCCTAACTGGACAGAATTTAAGGATCTCTTAATTATTATTCTCCAGTAACACAATTATACGTGCATATGTTGTAGTTTGGGAACCACTGCCAGAGAATGGTAGCATATTTTAGTTGTAAAAAGAAACACACGAACAATATTTACTAAAGTAAAACTTTATTGTTTAAAGAAAGCACTTTGGAAACAATGTGCTAATTAGCCATTACTACATACATGCAATGAAGCAGAACATAACAGTAGTTTATGGGAAAAAAAATCATAATCATTCATTCTGCACATATTACAAAAACCTTAATCATACAATGCACTTCTCTCCAGCATATTTAGTGCTGTGTCAAGGCAACACCACTGCATTTATTGGGAAGGTGTGTTTAACCGAGTGCCAGTGATTTCAACTCATAGCTAAATCTACGGCTCAGGTACCCTAGAACACAAATTGTACAGATGGTCTGCATCCTCTCCCTTAAAAAAATAATAATAAAATATATTATGTGCAATGTAATGTCAGGAAAAGAGAGGAGCTTTGATGAAACGAGGCACTGCACGGGCAGGAATGAGCGGGGTTATCTAAATCCATTTGCAATGAGCACCTCCAACTATGGTGTTTTTAGGCAGCTGCGTAGTATACCTTTTTGGAAATTGAACCACGGCTGAAATCCTCTAGCACTCCAAAGATTTAACAGATGCAGTTTTTCAAATAAATTACCTCTGAGTGTATAATGGAACAAGTTTAATCTCCAGACTGTCTTGAATTCTAAACAAACCCCCAAGTGCAAACATTACAGTGGTTGAAGCAACCAAATGATAATTAAATGTACAAAATGAATCTCATCAGGATAATGAAGTCTAGTTTACAGTACATAATTACAACATAATTCACAATTGTGGGCTGCTTAATACAGAACCCGTGCAGCTATATTTAAGTCGCATTCCAGCTCTAAGCATTTCTGTTTCTCACATAACAACCAAATGAAGTATGCGTACAGTACTATAACAACCTCTATCATTCAAGCATATTTGATTACACATTAAAGAAATTAAAATCATTCAAGTCAGGATGGTATTCCTGACACTTAAAGAAAGACAAACAATCTAAAATCTCGACATTATACCTTAACAGATCGATGTCTATCCAGAAGTAGACATGTCGAAACAATACCGACAACACAAAAATAGGGTTAAAATGTGCTTTTTACAACACATTAGGAATTTGTAAACACCATTTTGTTGGCCTCTAGTGCGAGATGCTATTTAAAGGTATAGTTATCATGTATTCATAAGCTACATATTTTTCCTCTCATGTATTTAACCATTGGAATGCCAGAGAAGTGATGTAAAAAATTCATAGCAATATCTGGTAAAGTTAACAAATTGAGTGCAGATGATTGTGTTGGAACTCAAAGGGCTAAATATGTTGTATGTCATTCTCAAAGTTCTTATCCAGTTCTTCATTCAATCCTAAACCAAGGGTAGGCAACCTTCATCACTCCAGATGTTGTGGACTACATCTCACCTGATGCTTCTCCAACAGTATGGCTGTCAGAACATTATAGGAGATATAGTCCACAACATCTGGAGCGCCAAAGGTTTCCTGCCCCATCCTAAACCAATGCACTTAAATTTATTTTGAGAAGATGCTCAGTTTCCAAATTTACTTTTATCTTAAATGTTTCTGTGATTCAATTGAAGATTATTTAAACCAGTTCACAAATTATTGCAAATAATTTGTAATTCATTCCACTTATTGAAGTTGCTTTTATTAACCCAATTATTTGGTGACAGTTTAAAGGACCACTATAGTGCCAGGAAAACATACTCGCTTTCCAGGAACTATGGTGCCCTTAGGGTGCCCCCACCCTCAGGGACCCACTCCCGCCCGGCTCTGGGGAAAGGAAAGGGGATAAACTTTAAACTTACGCCGGGCGGGGAGCTCTCCGCCTCCGATCCTCCTCCTCTCCTCCCATTCGGCTGAATGCGCACGCGCGGCAAGAGCTGCGCGCACATTCAGCCGGTCTCATAGGATAGCATTCATAATGCTTTCCTATGGACGCTTGCGTGTTCTCACTGTGATTTTCACAGTGAGAATCACGCAAGCGCCTCTAGCGGCTGTCAATGAGACAGCCACTAGAGGCTTTGAGGGCTGGATTAACTCATTTATAAACATAGCAGTTTCTCTGAAACTGCTATGTTTATAAAAAAAATGGGTTAATCCTAGAGGGACCTGGCACCCAGACCACTTCATTAAGCTGAAGTGGTCTGGGTGCCTAGAGTGGTTCTTTAAGTAGCTAAATGCATAGTGTTTCTACATGGAAAAACTATTTTCCTTTTCTAAAGTTATACCGCCATAACGAAACTGATCTATTAGATTTAACCGATTAAGGATAAGTCATGGCATATGTGGTTAAAACGATTTACTCTTTAATGATGTGTTCTAAAATGGAATGTCAAACTCATTTAAATAAGCAGGACATTTTGTGCTGGCATAAGGTTTTCTAGAACATCCTTTATAGTCCTTAAAAGATTGATCACCTTACTGCCTTAAATTGACTAACAGATAGAAATGTGTCCTCGTAAAAGATTTTAATTTTTTGACTTTTAAAATTTCCTATGCAGGATCAAACTTACCAAACAAGATATCTAATTATTGTCTGTCAAAGTATGACTTCTGAGGTCAATAGCACAGGGAACGGATGGACCTAAAGGACTTTTAATGCATCAAATCACTGAAAAGTACTTTACAAAAACAGTCAAGCCAGAATTTCTAATTAACATTAGCATCTGTCTCGTAATCTTAAACTTGCAATGTCTTGATACGGATCCTATATCATCTAAAATGACCTGTTAGAATCCGTAATAATAGGAGCAGGTCAGTTTCTTACTATGGCTATTTTTAGTTCATTTGTTAAATATGAAACTAGAAAGAATTGAAAATGATGTGTCATTCTCTAGCAAAATATTTGGGACTTTCAAAACTTATCTGTGCAAAGCATGTCAGCAAACATACTGAGAAAATATACATAATGTGATGTATAATTTCCTCTTGTTCTGCATCTGTCAAGCTTATGGAATCAAACAGCAGATCTTTTATTTAATCCTGTAATAAATATATCACAAAAAAAGATGAATATGTCTCATTGATGTTGCACTGTTAATGTTTTGTGATTACAAAGAGAGTTTGACAGCAAAAAGGTTTTGAAGGGAAATTGACAAATGCTTGATTGGACTGATTTCAGATAAGAAGTCTAACGCTTCACTTGCTGCTCCCTTGATACATACGGTTTCACATTTAAATAGTTTTGCATTCACAGAATTGCAATATTAACATGGACAGTCTTTTTTTTTTTTTTTAGGACATTCACAGTGATTGCTGTAACAAAGGTATTAACTGTTGAAGAATATTAATTCCAAATACCTTTGGTTATTCATGCACAAAGCACATTATTGGGGTCACATCTAAAAGTCACACTGATTTCAATGAAAAAAAAAATAGCCACTCATGGTAGTGACCATATTTGACCAGGTCTGTGCACTTTTCAGAGACTACTGAGAACGGTTGCTGTTTAGCATAAATACGTATAAGCTCATATAGTGATAATCAGAGCAATCCATGTATGTTGATCATAAGTCAATGTCTTTTCGTTTATATTTTATAAATTATATGAATGGGATAGATGTTTTTACGAGGCAAAAGGGGCAATTGTAACCAGCAACTTATTTATGCTAAGCCTACACTTTATCACAATTTTTATTTTCATTAGAATGTTTGGGCCACAAGGTAAATGATAAATCATGCTAAATGTTGTTGTGTAATTCCCCTGTCCATCAAGGTCTGCTAATGCACCATTGGGAGGCGGCCTCCATGGTGTGTTACAGCACTTCAAGTGCATGACATTGCTATATGAAAGTGACATTCAGCTATAGTAAACTCACCATATACTCCATAAACAACAGGGGATGTGTGTGCAGTATGGAGTTAGCTGTCATACAATATGGAGGAACTAGCATGAATAAATGGAGAGCAGTCACTAAATAAGGGGCATCTACCATAAGCTGACGTTAGAGTACAGATGTTGATGCAGGCATGAAATGAAAAAGAGCTGGTAGAAGGGAAGAGCTAGAATAAACATGATGATGGATATAAACAACAGAGCTGGCATGACAAAATGGTGGATGTGGATATATGGTACAGTGTGGAATCACTGTATGGTGTAAATGAAACATTAGTAATAAAGGACTAAGGTTAGGAAGAAGAGAAGGTATCTTCTCTGCTAATAATCTCAATTAGAAGTTACTTCATGTGAGAAAATGTCAAAGTAATGTAGGGAGAAGCCTCTTCATGAAAGTGTCACTCCTGAACCCCAGCTATCAGTTGCTTTAAATTATACTGAAATTGAATGAACAAAGAGATGTGTTCATTAAATATCAAGTTAATCTGTGGACTGACTTGCTGCTGAATTAAAGAGACACTTTGGCAATAATCATTTAATTTAATTATACTGCCTTTAAGTATTGTCACTGCATTCAATGTTGAACCATTTAGGAGCAGGCCCTGCTGGGGGTATGGTTAAGCAGAGATTAAACACTTCCTTACAGACATACCAATTCATACCAGCAATGACTGAAAGCAGTCAGTGGCCACTCTATGCCAAACACAGCCACCCATTGGTGCCCAGACTAAGGCTTCATCATTATCTCAAGCAGCACAGAGGGAATGGGCTGATGGGGACTCTCCCAGATGACTTCAGACAATATACACCACTTCAATGAGATGAAGCAGTTACTGTCTTCAGTGTCCCTTTAAAGTTCTTTACAATTCATCTATTTTGCATCATATTTTGCAAGTTCTTTTAAATTATAAAAGTATAATTTAGAGGAGCAATTGAGAAATCAAATTAGGGAGCTACAACCAACCATGTTCTCTTGATTATACATATTTATTTTTGTACTATGTTTCAAAACTGTTCCAGACAGTCAATCTATTTATATATTTTTCATTTAAACATCTTCTCAAAAAAAACCTTCTTTATATTTGTAGTAGTTTTATGCCAATCACTCAGTAATACAACACCTCTGTTCACAAATTGAAAACACATACCTTACTTTATATACATCCTCTTATAAATACATTCTAGGTTGAAATGCATGTGATTCTAGTTTTCTGAGTCATTTAGTTCTGTAAATTTTGCAATCAACTACTTAAATACCAAAGTGTACCAACCACTCCACAAAATGTACATTACAAAAGTTTTAAAGTTTGTTAAATCTCTTATTTGAGACCATGAAGTACCTCCATCACTCAACAAATTAACCTTTTGTTTGATAATGTGATTTAATAAACTAAATCTCCAAATCATCAGGTCGGGGTCTGCTGCTGGCATGGCTACTTGCTCTACTAGGTGGTCTATGGTCCAAAACCGCAATGGGCTGCATCTCATGACCAGGCACCAATTTCTTGGTATTCTGTTGATCATCAGGAAACTCAAAGGGCTGAGCATGAGTATTTGAGATGGTGCTTCCAGCCTGGCCCATCCTAATTTGTTCAGCGCTATAATTAGCCCAGTTCTGCTCACTTGCTTGCTTGTTAAAATTACGACATGATGAAGGGTTTCTTTCACTAGTAACAAGCTTGTAACCTGGTGGTGACATGGGAGCAGTCGGAGAAGAACAGCCATTAAAGTATGTGTATTTAGGTGAACCACAATCTTTTGCAGAACTTACTGGATCAGTTGTATGGGTGTATGGGTTTCTTTTCCCCTTGATGCCATCCTTGATGCTTTTAAAGCTGACATAAAATAGTTCAATGATGTTTAAGCCAAGTGACACAAGAGACACTATCAACATAAACCATATAAAAATGGTTTTCTCAGTGGGTCGTGAGAGGAAGCAATCTACTGTATGTGGGCAGGGTTGTCGTTCACACCTATAGACAGCATTCAGACTGAACCCATACAGGTACCATTGGATGACAAGGAAGCCAACTTCAAAAACTGACTTAAACAAAATGCTGATTATATAAGTGCGAAGAAGACCCCCACGCATTCTGACTTTGCCATGTTCTTCAATGCCATACTTGTATTTTTTTATTTCAATTTCTTTAAGGTGCATGTCAACATTGCCTCCATCATTCTGAACAATTTTAAGTTCTTCTTCCTTCCTGTTCAGCTTTTCTTCTTTGCGCATCAAGTAAAACACATGGGCCAAATAAAGCAAAGTTGGTGTTGAGACGAATATGATCTGAAGAACCCAGAAACGTACATGAGAGATGGGGAATGACTTGTCATAGCAGACATTTTCACAACCAGGTTGCTGAGTGTTGCAGCGAAATGCTGATTGTTCATCTCCCCAGGCTGATTCCACAGCAGTGCCCAAAAGAAGGATACGAAATATAAACAGTACTGACAACCAAACCTTTCCACCAGCAGTAGAATAGGTTTGCACCTTGTCAAGAAGTCTTCCAAGAGCACTCCAGTCACCCATCTTTATAGAGGGCTACCTAAAATAACAGAAAAATGAAAATCAATTTAAAATTTAAATTTTTATATCAACAAATTCTTATTAAAATTACTCTAATACACATTTCACAACAAAAGCAGTAACAACTGATAAAGTTTTATATTTTTAAGTCACATGCTTATAGTACTGTACATTTTTCTCCATTTCAAATACATTTAATTAACATAAATAATATATGCTGGATATTAGCAAATGGTGCTGGATATTAGCATCTCCAGAAAACTGGAGATTCTTCCATTTTATGTATTAACCCAAAATGGCAACCTTTAAGGTATTGTGTATGAGCAAGAGGAAGTCAGTGAAAGCTACTTATTATAATTAACACTCATGACACCACCTTTGGAGTAAGGGAATGGACAGGCCCACCTTTTTATTTTTCTTCACAGAACCCCAACTGCTGCTCATGCTCTGGGGAAGTGGGCAGAAAGTATCGGGACACTTTCCTAGCTTAATGTGTGTCACAAGTACCCTTGTTTTTTAATGTATGTTTGTATTTAAGTTCTAAATGTATTGTATTTTTAGTACTAAAACGCAAGTTAAATGTTAACAGAAATCAGAAAACTAGTGTGGTATTCTTTTATTTGTGTGTGATTTTTTTTCAATTCTTTATTTTTAATTGTGCATAGATAGTACAAAGCAGCCTTACTGTGCCACAATAGCTAGAGCAAGGTATGCATTAAACGTAGTGAGACATTTGTATGGCTTTCAATAGATCTGCACAGTTTTATATAAAGCAAGAGAGAACAAACTGAGCGTCTAACAAAGAGTTCCACCACAAAGAGCTCTGCTAGAGAAAGGTGGGAGAGTCCAGAGTCTTATAAAATACAAGGAATATGATACTTGCTCAGAAAAAAAAAGAAAAACAGGGGTTGAAAGATTATACAGAGCGTATCAATTCAGCTAAAAAGGGTAAGAGAAAAGTTCAAGTGATTTTTATGAACTAAAGCACAGTCTTTCAAGTGCCTGTCAGCCTATGCCAGCCATGGGAAAAACGCAGCCCCTCACTATGGAACTAATTGGTGGATTAGGGGTCTGAGGAGACAATAAGGTACCACCTGGATGGTGTAACAGGCCCTGTGCCACTTGCTTTTTTCCCCCTTTAAACCTCCCGGGAGATCTCTGTCGGCATTGGGGTATAGGCCTGTGCGCTACTCTCCTTGTGCACCGCTGGCACGGTTTTTCTGTGGGTCTGCGGCTGTGTTTGGGTTCCCGGTTCTTCGGGGTAGCTGTGCAGACGTGCAATTCAGCAATGTTCTCTCGGTAGGCTGGAGATAGTGCTTCAGCAATTCCTGCCAGAACTCCTCGCGAAGGCAGTTTATCTATGTCAGTGCTCCAGACCCCTTCCTCAGCTGCAGCCCCGGATATCCGGCCGACTTCGTTGTGGGTGAGTCGGTCGTAGATGTCACTGGGAGCGTTACAACGCCATATGTCAGCTGCGGAGGTAGGGAGCCCTCATGGTAGGGACTGGGATCACCCCCGCCAGCCCATAGTGGGAGGAAACAGGGCTGGAAGTCCATGTAGTGGCGGGTCAATGCATGTCAGGTCGGCCGTCTCTCCTTGTCACAACGCATGCTAGGCCTCACTCACAGTCGATGCAGATTCCATTTTGGGCAACCACAGGCTGGTCAGACTGGTCAAGTGATGAGGGATGCCAAGGTAGTTTAATATGATGACTACAAAAGGGCCAGAAGCGTTGGCAACTGGATCAACTAATTTGGAACTGGAGGAGCTCCTAGGAAACACGTCCAATCGCCATTGCAGTCAGGCTTTTATTTGTGTATTTATTTAAATGGTTTTAACTATTTTGTTGCTAGCACACTTTATTCTGTTATCACCCTTATAACACTCTGTGACTGACCAACTCTGATATTAACTATGGCAATTTGACTGAAGTCTAGCACTACTTAACAACTAACCACATGAAAAACACTATCAGAATCTGTTCCAGTCAGCTATTGTTCCTAACATTGTACGTATAAATGCAGGGAAGAGTACAAGGTGGACCATGATAAGGTGTGGCGATGACATAAGGGTGGGATCATCCAGAAAGGGGTTATCCCAATCAAAGAGGGGGTATGTTGCTCTTTTGGCCAGTCCCACTCAGGGCTGTTAATGTGCCAAGCGCTGAAGTGCTGAATGCTCTGGCTTCACTATTAGCAGTGCATGTCTAATAATTTCTTTATTGGGTCATTTTTCTGTTGCATTTCCAGAAGTGGAACACTAGGTATGAAATCTAGGACAATGAAACAGAAGCCCAAATTTAGGACTGCCCTACCAAATATTGATTTCTCAGGAATTATGTTAGTGAATAGCTTGAGGGATAACTTGAGCATTGGTTGACTTGAAACGGCTGACTGGTTACTTGAGGCAAACTGAAATAAAATTTCCCAGTCATGTAAATAGGCCCCTTCTAAATGAGAAAATATAAGCTTACTATATAACTGCTTGAGACTGAACCATTTCATTTTTTTTTTATATTTAGTAGGCAAAACACCCAGTCATTATGTAACCTCTAAATGCTTCTATTGTGTATGTGACTGCCCAAGCAGTTCTCTGTTTTAAATACCTTACTTACAATAACCACTTTACTGCATGACAGAGTACAAAAGTATTTTTCAACCTTCACCAACACATGTACCCATAATAACAGTGTTTTTCTAGTTAAAAATACTTAGTTTTCAACAATGACATTCTGATCCCATTAGTAGTACCCTAAAACCACCAAATGATAACATTTATGATTTGCAAACAGTCTTAAAGAATGCATTAATTCAGTCCTATTATAATCTACTCTGGCAATAAACTATTTGAGACTAATTGATAAAACAGACAAAAAACAAAAAACGATTTTGTAAGCAAATATAATAAAAATATTGTGCATTTTAATGTGTGAGATTTTAAAATATACATTTGTGCTGCCAATGGGGAAAGTCCCAGGAGAACTCAAAGTACAGTGCAATAAAATATTTTAAATACACAAGCTGGTTACAATAGTACGACGATCTCTCTCTAACAAGAAATACATTTAAAAAAAATAAAATGTTGACCCCAATATTCACCATATGAGACTTGTGTATGGCCTTCCTACTACCTCCATCATGTGTGCAGGGTGGAACTGAAGGCCAATAGCCTGATAAGGCCAGAGGGGATGCCCAGTTCTGTTGGTACTATTACCCTAACACTACAGGGTCAAAAGATTCCCTATACCTATGTCCCTTTTCCTAAAATATTGTACCCAATCCTATAGCCGTAAAAGGAATAAGTCTACATGCCCAGTATTTATGGATAAAAACATGGGCACAAAATCAATAATAAAACTGCTGCAACTGTTAAAGAAAAAAATAATGCTGAAAAAATAAATAAATCTATACCGTCCATGTGACTGACTGCCAGATTGGTAAATAGATGGATTCAAGCAACAGAGGCTTTATATACGCTTAATATATCTCAATAATGCAACACATGCCTGGTGATTTAATAGGTGCAGGTTTTACATAGGAAGAAGCAATAATTAAACTATTATGATAAATCTATAATAAAATCTTCACTTGCATGAAATGCATGAGAAAACATATCACTAATCTTTTTACTAAATTGCACGGGTCATTTTAGCGACTAGGAGTTTTTCATTATTTATTAAATTAAGCTGCAAGCATGGAAAACTGGAAAGAAATAGAAAATAAAAGAATGAAAGAAGTCTTTTAAGATGAAAAGTAAAAAAAAAAAAAAAAAAGAACTAAATGAAAAATATAGGTGATGAAAGACTTAGAACCAAGAGGGACACTTAGAACCAAGAATGGGTAAATAAAAAGATAGGCAGACAGGTAGGGGGGGGGAAATAAAACGAGACAAGGAGAGGCAGGGGGATATATGGCAGAAAAACATGAGCTAGTCATAAGATGGTATAAACAACTATTACAGGATTTGTAAAAGACAGATAAAGATACAGAGATAAAAGCTTATAGAGAAGTAAGAAAGATAGGTACAAGTGTCAGAGATCAGCTAGAAAAAAGGCTGAGAAACAGTTCACGAGAGACAGAGGTGAAACTGGAAAATTAATGAGATACAGGGATAAAGGTAAAGGAGCTAGAGAATCAGTGGGAATAAAGAGTGATAGAAAGAGAGAGTTAAATACATTAGAAAATGCAAAGTCTTAGAAACATTCATATATAAAGGCAATAAAGACTGAGAGAGAGAAAACAGGTATTGAGAAAGAGCATGACCCTGGATGCAGGCGTCTGTGGCCAGGCAAGTGGACCTGCTAAACCAGATGCCACATCCTCCTCTGGAGGAAAAAATCCATATTGGAACTTTGCATGGTGTTGTGACTCAATGTATTTTACTTTTGCTTTTATAGACTGAGATTCAAAGTGAGAAGTAGACAACATATGAAAAAAAAAGAGAACTGGTGACAATCAGGCAAGAAAGGGAAAAGGCAGAGAAATTAGCGAGATGGAAAAATACTGAGATACATAGACAAGGACTTCCAAGCATTGATAAACAGATCAAAACACACACACACAAGAGACAGAGAAAACAAGAGAGTGCAAAAAGAACAATGCTAAGGAAAAGGTTGATATCCAGAAAGCAGCAAGTGAAATAAAGATAATGATAGCAACTACTAAACAGAGACTGCGATAAGGGATTGAATACAGAAGGAAATAGGTTGGAAGGAGAGCAAGAAAAAAAATGGGCTGTAGAGACAGAATTAGATGTGTTGGAGACTACAGAACATAAAATGGTTAAAGGTGCTACACCTGGCCTGCCAGCAAGTTGGTACAACAAAACCCATCCCTTGACATTGATTGGCAGTACTACAATAGTTGGATTCTGAATTACTAATGGGTGATATTTTGTCCAAAACAAGTCTGATCCTGACACACAGATGTTTTTTTTTTTGCAACATAAAAGTTGGTTATATGCTAACTCCCAGGTCTGCCACGTATAGCACACATGATTACACAATTATACTGCCCTGCTTTTCACTCTGAGATAATTATAGCCACACTGCAAATCCCCATCAACACAAATATTAACGCACCTAACAGATCATGCATAATACAGAAGAAAGCATACATTTTAGAGTTTGTTTCAGTAACGTTTAAGTGCATTAAAATTATATTAACCATTTCAACGGCTTTCTTTTTTCTTTGCTTGGGAAAGCTCAGTCATCTCCAGTATTTATGAGAGGGATTTCATTGTTCATACTATACATTTTATAATGGGATTCTTTCACATACAGACAGCTACAGAAGCCAGTATATCATCTTTATGTGGCATTACATGTAATAGAATGGAATTTGATATACAGTAGGCATGTACACGCAAAGCAAGAGCAGATGGGTATTTGGTTGTAATATTAAGTTAAAGAGGTATCAGTCCTACTGCAAGCCTCATATGACAAAGATGCACAGCTTTTTATGACAGTTACTCTAGGTCAGAACTGGCCAAAAAGTAGACCTTCTGTTATTCAGAACAACAACGCTCATTAAGCTTTGCCAGCCATAGATGAGTTGCAGTTTGAAAAAATTTGGTGGCCCACTTGTTTGATCGTTCCTGCTCTAGGTTACATGAACACTTTCATGTTGCTGCATACTAGTTGGTATCTGTTTGATTATAATCCACAGGAGTGCTTGGATCAGAGGAGTTTCTTCACTAAACAGAAAATTGTTGTGAACTGAAAATGAAATTGCAACACATTGGCTAAAATAGCCAAGCCTTGGATGTAGCTGGAGTTGGAGATTTTCTGCCTACATTTAGCAATTCAGTCTGTTGCTGTTTAGTGAAGCCTGGTGCTGTTTAGTGAATAAACATTGAATTGATCACCTTGCTCTAGAACAGGGCAAGCAACTTTTGGCTCTCCAGATGTTGCGGACTACATATACCCAGATGCTTTGCCAGGGGTAGGCAACTGTTCGCACTTAAGATGTTGTGGACTACATATCCCCATATGCTTTGACAGCATTGTGGCTGTATGAGCATTATGGGAAATGTAGTCCACAACACCTAGGGTGCCAAAAGTTGCCTACCCCAAGGCTGTGATTTTTGTGGTCTCTCTCTCCCCATCTTATTACTTTTTTTTTTTTTTTTTTTTACTAGATTACTAGGCACCATGAGAACAGCAAAAATATAGATTCCAAGATTTTTACATAAACAGTACAAACAATAGTTAAAAGCAAAGTGTGCTATCCAGATGTTGCAATGGCAGAGCAACAGATAAAACCGTATTAAATGGAGCTTATTTCTGTCCTGATGTGCGTAAAACTATATTTCCTTCTCACACATTCCGTGGCTCAGAATAGCAGGGAAGTGCAATAACTTCAAACAGAAATCTCCGCTGCAGTAGCTAACCCAGACCTCTTTTAATAAGAACTGCTAAAACGTAGTCAGCAAGAACACCATCAATTAGAGCCTAAACACAAAAGTATGAAAATTCCAAGTCATGCAAAGTCTTACTTCAGCCAAAGAATAAAACCTAGGTAGCTGGTGTCAAATTTCCTGTCTGCTAAACCAATGAAATATATATTTTAAAATTCAGATGTGGTCTTTTTAACCCAAATTTACCGTTAGAAGTCTCTGATTCAGATTTCTGAAAATGCTGACTAAGATATGGAAGCCAGGCTTAGTTTCTGGCTAGTCTGCTTAGCCATTTTATATTTATTCAATTCACTCTCGTGCCAGCATCATTTAACCAATGAAGGACCAATGGCTGTCTATGCCATCATAATATTCTGTTCAATAAAGATGTTTTTAAAAAAATAAATTAAATCCTTCTATTAGTGACAGTAGTGCTCTATAGTGTTGCTGAGGCTATGTAAGTGGTACAGTGAGTACTGGAATATTACCTTAAAGCATCAGTTGCAGATGGCTGCGTAGAATATCATTGTGCATAAGGAGTTAAACACATCTCACAATCTTCCTACTCACAGAAAAAAATATAGAGCAGATCTAAAACTAAGGATGTGTTGAGGAATAATGCATAGGCTAAAATACTGTTTAAAAACCTACAACTGTGATAGCTAAATGTGCCACTGCAATGCCCATCACGAAAAGCCAGCCTAAATGGTATTTACAAACACATGGAGTGCGAACCATCAGAAAAGTTTAAAAACAAGAGTAAACATATATATATATATATATATATATATATATCTCAAAATAATAGAATAGTAAACATTTTAAGGAAGATACATATTAACAATTAATGGAGATGCTAAAACAGCAGGATACTTGGAGAGAAAGCAAATGTTCAGGGCTGTCTCAGGAATTCTAGGAAAGTTGGGAAATATGCAAGGGCGCATGTAAAATTGTATTTTGTATAGTTAAGTTAATACAATGAGAAATACTGTTATATACATAAAAAAAAAAAAATATTACTTTACCTTAAATGACTTACGTTGGAATTTTACTTGGTCTTAAAACTAATGAATTGGTAAACTTGTTTTATTGGCACTGGGAAACAATTAATTTAAAATTCTAATTTATTTTTCTATAACTAAACAAATACACATACTCTACCTTGCTGATCCAACCAAAAGGCAGCAGCACAATCCAGGGTGTTCTTGGAAAGTCAAGAGAGCAAGTGACAAGCACAGGCACTTAATCCTGTCCTTTTAAAGTTTAAAGGCTTGTTGCTAACTTGCTGGGTAGGCTCCCTCCTTGTGAAGTTGCAAAACTTTTTTCAGACTCTTCACCAAGGCTTTTAAAAAGTTTGTAATCCTCAACTCCGCCTTCAGGACGGACAGAGAAAGCAGGAAAAAGGAGGAGGGATGGAGAAGAGAGGGGATAAAGGATTTTAAAAGCCAGGCAAATTAAGAAATGAACAGCTACCACAATGTTTTAAATGCAATGTGAAATTTAGTGTGTATTTTGTTTTGCATTGTCATTCGTGAAGAACTTTGGAAAACTTATATTCCAATTTACCAAAATAAATCAACATTTTAGCTCAGCATCTAAATGCATCCCGTATAATGTGTGTTGGAAAATTGATGGGTGTTTACATTTTAACGTGTACAAGAAAGTTCCCTGAGGAAGTATTTATTTAAAAAAAACAAATCCTGTAAGCACTCTGTGTCTTCATTGTGTTGTGTTTTATTGTATGGTGATATTTAGTGATTCATGTGATATTTGTATTCTTTGTGCCTTGCATTATTGCAGGATATAGTAACTTTTAAAGAGAGCGAAAGTATTATTTAAAGGAACACAACAGTGTTTAGTGCTTTTTGTGATGAGCTCCCCCATGTAAGAAGTCAAATACATTTAAGAACTATTCACCTTCTTACCTTGGGACTCAAAGTCGCCATTCCTGCCTCAACTACCTCATCTGGAGAGATGGAGGTTCTCTATCTGACCTAAACTCACGTTCACAGTGTTTAGTTTGTAAGCTAAGATTGGTCAGTGGAACATTGCATGGTTAGCTAAGGAGAGCTAACATATGCTTTGGCTTCCAGGTCTCCATAAGAAGTAGTGGAGGTGGGGAACAGTGCCTGACAAACCTCAGGTGATATGTCAAACTGTTTTGAAATGGTGTAAATCCCTACAACGGGGAGGTGCAAGGGTGCTCCTACTACCATAGCCAATACACCATACTGTGTTGGTTATGGTGCTTGGAGAGTAACTATCGCTCTATATGTGCTAGGCAGTGGTACACAAAGTGTAACTGTATAATGATTGTACAATGACTGAGTAAAACAAATCCATGTACTGATAGATAATGCATAAGGGCCTTCTGCCATTAATTGCTTTAATAAGGAATTCTTGGTAATGGTCTTGCACAGGCCTCAAACAGGATGCAGAGTAAAGGTTCTAATAAGTAACAGATTGATATTTAATTAGTCCCCAAGAAAAATCTACAGTGAACATATTGACTTATTACAGTGGCCACCCTAGTTATAGAAAAACGTGATATGTGATATATGATTCTTATATTGATAGATGTAAATATTTATCTGTGTGTGTGTTTTAGGCATTTGAACTCTGTATAGCTTCCAGTACAATCATGCAGTCTCTTCTCTATGATAAGAGCTAAACTGATAAATGTTTGTAGTGTCACCATTTTTAACATGATATTTTTTTACCAGATTATTTGTATTTATTTTACCATATGTGAATACATATTTCAAATTGTAGGTGTATGCAAGAGTTTCTGGGATATAGATAGTGTAGATGTACGCAAAATACTTATTGAAATACAAAGAATACACAGATAGGGAGAGGTCAACTAAGAATGAAATCTAATGAGTCAATATATATTTAAAAAAAGCTGTATTTTAACAGCGCTAGATGAAATAAGTTACTTGAATAAAATCTGTTGGCAGTTTGTTGGCTAAAGAAAAGTAGGTAACTCTACTGTTGCAACCAATTTACACTACTTGGCTCAGTTAAAATAGGGTATGCAAAATTAAATAAATAAATTAGCCAAGTAAAGCACATCAAGAATAGGTAAGCAGTTGTCTGAATATAGAATATACATATTTACACAAGAAGCGCTTATGAACAAGCACTATATAATCATGTGGTGGAACAAACTTACAGTACAAATGTTAGGAGTATCAGTATAAAATTGTAATTTTCACTCCTCTCAGTGGCTGCTTACATGAAGACCCTCAGCTATGTATGGTTTACTAATGCTTCTGTAGTTTCCAGCAGATGTCAGGACTAGATCCACTTTATTTAGGTGAAATCCTTACCTTATCAGTTCATGAAAATTTGTTATCTTCAAAGATCACCACTTACAACCAAGATGCGGGAAGGGGGCTATCTAAACTAGTTTAAGTCTTCCATTTCTGCATCGTGTACAGATCGGTATATTTGGTAACTAGTATTGAGGTCTGAGAAAACAGATTTCTACAAAAGTTAGCTTAAAAGTCATACTATTATGAAAAACGCCATTAAAAGAAATGTTTCCCCAAATAGAATTAAAACAAGTTCTATTCAATACATTTCCATTATTTTAGTGGGAACAATGAATAATTTTACCAGACTCTTTAATTGTCATTCTATTAAACTGAAACATATTGTTCTAGCGGTTTAACAGCTTTTTTTCTGTAACAATAAGGATTGTCATTGCTGGGGTCAAAGATGCCCTGGGCTGATACCTAAAAGAAAACACCATAGAGAGTTATTAAAGAGATACTTTACACCTAATTGAACCTCAAAGCTCTGCATCTCTCCATTTTGCCGAAAGTAATTTAAAAGGAAAAAAATAATTGCAAACTTTTCTGCTAACACTTTTTAGAGTTCAATGTGAAGGATCAGGAAGAACGCAGAGCATTAAGAACTATTCAGCTCATGTCAATCTCTAATCAGGATGAGGACTATAGTTCAGTACTATTTCATTATGCATTAATTAATGGATCAAACCCTCCATACCATAGGTTTAGGCAGATTTCCCTTGCATTTTAGTCATGTTCACAGTAGTCATTAAACACTAGATTTATTAAGAATGCTGATTGAACAATATCATATCAGATATCAGAGACTTAAGTTAAAGGGACACTATAGTCACCAGAACAAATACAGCTTAATGCATATATTCTGATAAGTATAATCATTCCCTTCAGGATTTTTGCAGTAAACACTATCTTTCCAGAGAAAAGGCAGTGTTTACATTACAGCCTAGGCATATATCCACTGGCCACTCCTCATAATGTTACTAAAGGTGCTTCCTGGGGCAGTCCTGTCTAATGTGCAGCACTGCCATTTAGTGTCCCCAGCCTCTGCACCGAGATACTGAACTTTCCTCATAGAGATGCATTGATTCAATGCATCTCTGTGAGGAGATGCTGATTGGCCAGGGCTGTGTCTGGCTTGTGCTGGCTCTGCTCCTAATCTGCCTCTTTAGCAATCTCAGCCAATAGAATAGGAAAGCATTGTGATTGGCTCATATCACCACTTCTGATGATGTCAGCCAAATAGGCAGATCAAGGGCAGAGCCAGTAGCAGCACACTGGAATAAAATGTAATAATTTACTATATTAGGGGGCAAGATGGTGTTTTTAACACTATAGGGTCAGAAATACGTTTGTGTTCCTGACCCTATAGTGTTCCTTTAGCGTACTGGTAATGCTGGGCCAGTAGCAAGAGTGTTTGTAGTAACTTAACTAATAACTGAAAAAAAAACAACAGCTTTTAATATTAGTGGTAGTACTAGCAGTATTATGCAATAGCAGAAGCAGTTTGTTACAAAAACAACACCCACAAGCAATAATAAACCAATTTAAAAAACCTGGGACAACTAAGATTATAATCTAGCTAAACACACCATTCCTTAGGTGATGCCAGCTGATTAGAGTAGTTTAACTAAACCTCTGGACATTGCAAATAACCTAAGCCTTTCAACTTTACTACCGATAATTTGCTTTTAACAAATTCCATGTGATGTTCATTAACTGCCTGCTTGCTTTGATTTTAGGAGGGCAAGAAAGAAAGGTATTTGCATAACTCTTCCCAGTGGTGTTATTTTAATACATCCTTTTTTGATACATGAAGATATTAATGATTAATGTATTGCCAACCTCTTTACCAGCACAGTATATACATGATGGTTTCCATGACTTATTTGGTAACTCTTCCTATTTAGGACAATAGTAAAATTTTAGGTCTCAGATACAGAAGAATAATGAAAGCGCTGGTTTATGTGGATGTATATCATTTATCCTATGCTCGGAAGAATATGACATTTTCTTTGTCTAAGCTAGGATGTAACAGAAGGTCAGTTCCATTGAATATTATTTTCCAGTAATAATGTTCCTACCTGTTTATAAATCAATCCATCACAAAAGCAGACGATGAAACAGCAATCTGTTATAAATTCTTGCAAAATACCTGTATTCCTCTGGAATTGTCTGATATTAAACAAGTTATTTTGTTCCTTTATATTCTTGCCTGCAAACTCTATACATACACATAATTTAAAATTAAGTATTTTTTTTAGCTAAATGGTAGAAATCCGAAAGTTCTTGGATTACCTCCTTTACATTTTTGGCATTATGGTAATTCAGCGTTTTAGTGCTGCTGTTAATGTATTCACCCAAAACATAGGATGATGTATTCTTGGTATGTATTAAATATAACAGAAATATCTCTTACTCTAACATTGTATTCACTATCTATACATATTATTAGTCACCAAAAGTCATTTACTATGGATATATGTGTTGCCAAGTAAGACAGATATTTACATTGAGACATAATGTATTACACAAAAGATTTGGATATATTCCAAGCCAGACGGTGCCTTATATATGCTATAGATGAATGATATCTACATTCTTTCTTCTATTTTATTTTATCCGGCAGAAACACAGCAAAAAAAATATTTTTGGGGGAACCATTTCGTCCTAAAAAAAACAAACCAGAAACTCTAAACTGTTGAGTTTTGCTCATATGGCGACTCAGCTTATTTGATTTTAGTTAACAAGAAGAGATTTGGGAAAATGATTCAGACAGACCAAAAGGGTGAGCAAAATGCAATAAGTGTACTGCAAAATAAATACATATTATAATATTATAAGATTTTTTACTGCTCATTTGTTCCTGTCTATTGGCCACTTTTCACTTGATCTATGAATAAAATGAAAATTTAGTCGCCGTCCCCTATCCTTAAATCTTTTTTTCTCATCACTTTTTTTTCTTTTTTATCCCCATGATCAGAACTCCTAGTCACAAGTCAAAACGAACATACTCGTACATTGCACGATTCATTTGTTTTATGATCTGGCTATATTTAAGCTCAGAGTTAAAAAATTTGTATGATTGGCCCAAATTCTGAAAAATTGCAG